AAGTTTTACAGCATTTTCTCAAAATATTTTCAATGATCCGTATCACTTTTTACCGTAGTAGGGCCACTATGTTATCTGTATGGAATAAACAAAAGAATACTATAAAATAAACGCATTTATAAAGCTACTATTTTATTTTACTGAAATAAAAGAAAATTATTATGTTTTTACATTTATGACCAAATATATTTACTTAACGCGTTGGAACTGGCAACACCGCTTACGCGTTCAATTTTAATGACGAAAACCTTATGTCGCCGTAGGTAGCGCTGAACTTTATCGGTTTGTACAAGAAACGATATTTCTTATCATATCGTAAGGTTTTAAATACGGGAAAACGTAAAACATCAGTTGCTTATATAGACATGACCCATATCGTTTTAATATTATCTTTTCTTGAAAAAAATAAAGTTCTAACCGGTATCAGCGTGGGTTTAGAGAGAATCGCTCTACTGACACCACCGTAATAGATTTTATATAGAATATATACAAAAAACTGGATAGTTGGAACTCCTATTGAGCATTGAGGGCCAATTAATTAATTGGCATAAACAATTTTTGTAGTGTATATAATTTAAAATAAAAATTGGTATAATTTTTTCAAAAATAACATAAACGTGATTTATGAACTCCGCCCTCTAATATTTCCATTGTTCCTAAACGACTTACCACAACTATAGCCAACTTAACTAAACACGAGAATCAGTTGGGGAAAAAACGATAAAAATGCGCAAACCATTAAATCTAAAAAAAACATTATATTTAATAAAATAAATTAGCTAATTACTCAAGTTCCTAGGAATCATAGTATATTCCAATCTGGAGTGCAGTCTGCACATCGTCTGGTCAAAACTCTGGACATTACACCTGACATATTGTAATTCAAAAACTCAAACTGAGAACTGGTTATTACCAAATCAGATATTTTTCACGCAAGAATTTTACTTTAATGTATTTAAAGAAGGATTATACATCCGTTTTTGATACGTCTTATCTACCTTATAGCTGAAAAGATAAATAAACACTTTTTTCTACTCCCGTCTGTAAAATACCTAATTACACACCGATCTAGCGTGCGGGAAGCCTCGCTTTACCACGTCAGTTTCGTTTCCCATGAATCCGACTAAGGTCGGACATTTGCGGGATTTTACCGCACGGGTTTGGGAGCAATCGGATGTTTTCGGAGATATTTCCCACGCCTTGAATTTTGACGTTTGTCAATTCTGATAGTCATGTCAGTGAATGTATTCGTGTTTTGCGAAAATGTACCCAAAAACTAACAGTCGTAGAAAAAGTATAGTATGCAACACGTTCGGTAAACTTTTTAACTCACTCGTTTATTAAAAACTTGCTCCGCTCGTGTCAAATAAACTCGTGAGTCAAATGCCGTTTACCGCACTTTTTGCATAATATACTATTTTCCACTCCCGTCCGTAAAATACCTAACTACACACCGATCTAGCGTGCGGGAAGCGTCACTTTACAACGTCATTCCGTTGTTTATATGACATATCCAATAATACATCTCTCTCTGTCTAACGTAAAATTACAATCTTTTTATTTAAATAAACTACTTAATGATCAATTGTGAAAGTTAAATAAACAACATAACGTTTTAAAATTGTGTTTATTCCGTTGTTTGTATGACATATCCAATAATACATTCTCTCTCTCTGTCTAACGTACACAGTTAAAAAGAGACAAGAATAGCAGAACCGATCGGAACGATAAACGAAGAGGTTTAATGGCAACTAGTAAATATTTTGTTTCAATGGTACGAAATTTAGTAATCCAATAATCTGTTATTATTTTTAACTTGTTAGATTGTGACTTTTTCGTGACCGTCGTAGAAAACTCTTTAACTCACTCGTTTATTAAGCACTCGCTCCGCTCATGCCAAATAAACTCGTGAGTCGTTTACCGCACTTGTTTCATAATATACAGCTTGTCATATCAAAATTAAATAATATGGTATAAACAATATCCTAGCGAGGAAGAAATGAACAATACCTTTTTGAAAGGTCAAAAATCCAAAGTGTCCCCATAGTTAGGAACTTATCTAATGAAGTTCCTTTATTCCTGAATGATCCACAAAATAACATTAATCATTACATTCCCACTCAACGCCTAGCTATAAGGCGGATTGACATTATCGACATCATTTTCGTGCTCACAGAGTGAGTCACATAGAATTAGGTTACTAAAGTAGACTGGCGGTGCCCGGAGCCATCGCTCCACGTCAAGACACTTCAAAGAACAGACATTGGCCAGTTGCGCAACACCAAAGCAGAATTTGATTTATTAGCGCTCGTAACGGCATTATTATTTTTTTTTACTGGAGCGATCACAATGGTAACGACTAATAGCATTACAAGTGAACGCAAATTGCAGTTCGGTTCTGTGCTAGTCACGACGAGCTAATTAAATTAACACGACAATAAAATCATTCTTTCTATAGTCGCTAACAAAGGTTAGTAAGATTCAACCCAAAATAGTGAGCAAAGTGGCTTGTCGAATTAAAAGCGCGGGAAGTAAAGCATAATTATCGCGGTATGTTTTACGCTTGTATTGAAATTTTGCTTTCAACGGGAGGAATCGTTGAAGAAATTCTATCGAGAAATGCTTAACCAAACCAAGGAGATTCTCGGTGGTCGTAAATCACCAGAGATCCATTCCGCACATGCCTTTGAAAAACCTTGTCGAAAGGTTAACAACTATGCAGGAGAAGGTTGCCAAACTCGGCTTGGTCGAAGAAGAAAGTAATTTTCGTTCTGGTTATATTTTTCGTAACGTTTATTACCTGTTACATGAATTTCTTTTATCATTTGTTTGTTTATTATATGCTGTGATAACCATTTCATGGCAACGGGGTATTCTGTTTACTTTTGGGTGCATCCACCAGTATGTCAATAATTTCAACATTAATAAATTAAATGACAAATTTTTCGTTTGTTTTGATTAGTCTTATTACTTATTAGTCTTATTACTGTATTGATGTTTTGAATAGAGCGTGTAGAAAGCATAATGACTGTCACGGAGGTTTGCCATTTTTAATAACACGTTTTCCATTTATAGCAAAAATGTTATTGCCGGACAAGAAGATGTTAGATAGATGCAGATTCAAGATTATGGTGTTTCTCTGCAGTATTTATGTACTGACAATAATTTATATTGTTTATATTTCCATTTTATATTATTAAACTGTAATTTTATTTGTTCTATTGGGCAAAGTAATGTTTTTCATAAAATGAGATGCTGTTGCTTTTTATTTGTTTTTATAATTGTCATTAAGTGGAGTTAATAAAAGATGTAATTATATTAAAGCTGTTTTTTCATCGCGTTTCTCTACGTTTTACCTTTCGGTTTGCTTTCATGCTTTCGACGATGGCAAGGCAACATTTTATACGTCATCCGCGGTTATGAACATGTGAATGTCGCTAATAGATAGCTAATTGTATTTTGCATATAGATCGTGTTAAAAAAAAAAAAAAAAACCGACACTTGGAACTGGAACTAAATGACCCAAAGCGTCCAATACATCTCGTCAGCTTTGCATATAGAAAGTTTTACAACAAGTTTGTGTTAATTGTCCGATTAAACAAATCGTTAATTTTTCGAACACCGGCGCGTACGAAATTGGTTTCACCATAAATCGCTATATAGAAATTAATTTGATATCCCGAAACCCGCTAAAGATAATAGACAAAAATGGCGGATAGCGGAGCGGAAAATGGAAGAATATACAGAGTTTCCCATTGAAAAAATGAAAATTGTCTTTAATTTTCGATTGAAGCGACATGACATGAGAAAATCCGTTAGATGGATAGAGCAGACTCTAAAACCTAAGTGACCAAATCGCCAGCAAATTTCTACATTCCGTTTTCCCAAAACGTCTAATAATCCATTGACCGTAAGGCACCTAACGACGATGAAATTTATGCCACATTAAAAGTGTGATTTTTTTATTAAAATGATAGCAGTATAAAGCAGCCACACCCACGTTGCTCTAGGCATGTCAGTTGATTACTGGGCTTTTACTTCCATCAATCACGATAAAGATAGAACAAAACGTAGACCGAGTAATGGAAACAAGAGTTTCGGATTTGTTTCAGTTTTTCTTTTTGTCATTTTAATTTGCAGAAAACACAACAAAACATCAACTTTATTATTCGTTTGATAGACATCAACCATTTTGACGTAAGAGCTTACTGGATGACTGGTCTAGTAGCCTATGAAGCCCGTAAGAAATATGGTAACGTCATACGTCATAAACACAAAATATAGAGTTTTCTTTAGTAAATCGGCTATTCGCGGTGTAGAAAATCCCGCTCAAGTTTAAAAATTATTTCAAATGTGTTCAACAGATTCTGGAATCGGTACAGGGAATTTCTTTCGGAACGAATTATAACCTTCAAATTTATTATTGTTTTAATCGGCGGAGTTTTTGGATGGACAATACTAGTTGAAGGTATGACGTAAAGTTCGTTTGTTTCATAAATTACAAAGTAGTTAGGCTGTAGATAATGTTTAGATGATGCGCTTAAACTCATAAGCTTCAAATTACTAATCTTCCATCCTACTTCCCGTAATTTTTATTAGACTTGAATCCATACTCTGTTTTTTTTTAATACTTTAGTTTATGGGAGGTCGACGGCGAACCGACAACTAACGCAAATAAAAATTATATTCTGAATATATTACGGATCGGCTCTGCGAAATTGCTATTATTAGTATTGTTGAATTGAGAATGAAAAACTTGATATAAAGTTCACTCTACTCTACTGCTTTCTTTTCCCTACTCTAAAATAGCAAATTATGCATGATTTTAGCCGTGATATTTTGACATTTGTCAGTTCCGATGGTTACGCCACGCGCCACTCAGTGCCATTTAGAAAATAAGGGTTATCGAACAAGTATAGTAAATATATTATTTTATGTTCCTCAAAACCCACCAGCAGTAAACGTTTATTTCGGAGCAGATTTTGCTCCCAAACACTTACCGGCTTCCTTGAAGCCCGCGTGTCCGTATTTGCTGCCCAACGAACACTGACCCGTAAGCAGAGCAACGATCAAAATGCAACCCGACAATTTAAGAGCCATTTCGCGCAGAAACGACGAACGACCGAAAGAAACCACCGCGTTTACGTTGAATTTTATTGAACCGGTCCGATTGGCTAAGGGAAAAAAATAAACAGCGAACCACACGGCAGACTCGTCGCAGTACTTGTGCGTCGAGAGCTGAAAATCACGTAGTCGAGGTTATGATCTGCGAAGAGGGAAAGTATACGGGCATATACGGTCGGCTTGAGTCAGATAGACGCGCTTTCGTTTGTTTCAGCGGCCCGCCGAGATGCTCGCTTTTCATCCGTTACGCGGACACATACATTTGAGTATTTCAAGTAGGCCGCGGAAGAAAGCGCTAGTGAATCTGTAGAAACTCGTAGCCGGTGGCGCTCGAAGTTTTTCGGGTGGGCCGCACGAGGTTCGCCGTCTGACCTATCATCGATAGTGGCCGCCTTATTTTGGGAATTTCGCCGTGTTACGGTTGGTAAACTGGACATCCGGATATCGAGGCGCATATTTTTTTTGCCGATTCTAAAATAAACCTCGGTTTTCCTTATAAACGTACAAAAAGTATTTTGGAACAAAATCCATTAATTTTTTAGTACATTTTCCAGCATTCCGGAAACGAGTTTAGCATTCAAATACAATACGTGAATGTTTAATTCTTTAACGTTAAAACTGCGTGTTACAAGAAAATCGATATAAATTTAATGCGGATATTCAACGTAATTTTTATTTGCACAAAGATCAGTCAGATGTCATTCCCCGTTGGCAAGCCACTGGTACCGCTTTAGTATGAAACCATGCGTGGAAGTATTTAGTGACGGCAACTGGGGTTTATTTAAACATTTATTTGGAACCGACGGGGGGGATGAATTTCGAACATAAACGGAAAAAAATCAAAGAGTTTTTTAGTGCGTTTTTTTTCTATTTAAATAAACGACAACTTTACAAATTAGGATATATGGCTTTTGATAAAAAAACTATTGATTGCCTGAATATATGTGGATTCAGAAGTATTATTAGATCTACATTTTTCAAAAATTTTCTGTAATAAATATTAAGGTGGCAATCTTTGTAACTGGAGAAAATAATTTTTTATTTCGTTATAAAATAAACAACAAAATTTTATTTATTTATTTAATTTTAATTACTTTTTGTCGGAACTGACAAACATCAAAATATCATCAGTATTTAAAACCTACCGAAAACATCCGCTCGCTCCCAAACTGGGGGTAAACTACCGGATATGTCTCACGACTTCTTAACCTGCGCCTAACTAGTGCATACTTGGTTAGAGTAATGAGTGGAAAAAATAATTGCTTTCTATTCAAAAACATACGGAGGTCCAATAAACAGTGCTGAATTTGCATAGAAGAGTACTGGGGCTCAAGCCTTTTCCTGCAGACCGTTTGGGGACCCCAAATATAAAGAAAAATTGTTTAAATATATTATATTTTAATTTAATTATCATAAGTATAACGGTGTTAGTAAAATGTATTATTCTTCGATTTTTTCTTTTCTAGTGTCTTCTCCGCCATTAAGTAAAATGCAATTCAATAACTTGTTTTATGATTAAACAAATTATAGGATCGACAATATTCAAAACTTACTTGGTATGGAATCATGGGATCTCCCGTTCAATCCCTGATCGATAGCATAGTCATTTGTTTTTTTTTATATTCTTTTGATGAATTATAAATATTTACGCCATTTCTGTAGATATCAAGTTGTATATTATTTATTATCAATATTTTTGGAATTCACCACTTCACCACTACCAATATCGTTTGCTTAATTATCATAATAACAGCAATGTCGCGGAATTCACTGAAGAATTACTTTGACTTCAGATTCGTGGTCGTTTAAATATTATAAGTTTTCGATCGACACAATTGTTTAAAGAGTATCACAACTACATAGTTATAGTTTCCGAGAAAAAAACAAAATTATAGACCAATTGGTTTTATTATTTGAGAGCCCACGTTTATCTAAATGAAAGTGCGAACGCTTCAAGGGCCATGTTTTCAATTAAATCGATTTTAATTGTATATCCGCCGCTGTAAATCATTCGATATTGCCGGATGTCATATCGTTTTACAAATGTAAAATCCTAACCGTTTTATTTGTATTATGTCCCGTGTCTAACCTTATCACTGCCGATATCTCGTGCAATTCCCGAGACTTGACGTTAACTAATTTACAATGCGCTACTTTACTTTATTGAGGTATCAATTATTATAGCAGTGTTAAATCGATAAGTCAAATGATTTAACGATGTTGTTTTGTGGTGGTATATTAAATTACTTGCCGATAAGTGCACGTACACTGCCTTAAAAATACTTTTGCTCAATTTAGAACCGTGCAATTTGTACCTGTGTATTTAACTGTTGATTTTGTGGTGGTAGATAATTCCGTTACCAACGGTTGAACTTCTGGTCACTGGTTTGGGAGCACTTGAACGTTCTTATTAAACTTTGGCCATTGTATTTTTACGTTGTATTAATTATATTAAACTTTGTGTTCCCTAAAATAAATATTTGATTATTTGTCGCACATTTAGGGCTAGGTTTTATTACTCTGAAAAACAGTTCTTTTAGACAAACTGTTTATTCGCATATTTAATAATAATCTATTTTCCATCATCACCATTTTCATTGCAATACCTACAGTTGTTCCAAACAAATTATTCATTGGCATAGCATAGCAAGAAGACATTTTCATCGTCTATGTGAAATGACTTACGATGAAGGACTGAGCATTCTATCCAGGAGGAGGCCTCAATGCAATTGTTGAGGCCAATCACCCGACTAGCTTCAATTACAAAATAGTATGATTTCCATTTTTCAATAACGCATTCCATTTTTTGTGAAGTTATTCTAATTTTCTTGATGACCTATTCTAGACAATAAAACAAAATGAAAAGGTTATTTACTATATAAAAGTATTCATACCAAATACTTATTACTTACACTTTTAAAAGTGCTCTTTCGTGTTTTTAACTTTATATACCTTTTTTATCCAAGATAAATATGCAAGTTTCATTTCAAGTTGATTTTCATGAACAAATTCTGATTTATTTTGCAATGAAAAACACCTGCCAAATTTATTATTCATTATCATCTTAAGCGTATAAAAAAGTTTTCACTCCACTTAACTATATAACTATATATCCTTAAGTTTTTTATGTTTCTTTTGATTCCAAACTATTTATTTGTAGCAGCATGTTCATTCAATTCGACAATATGTCAATGGTAACAATGCATCATGAACATATTTTAACAAAAAAATTAATTCCGTAATGTCTGATATATTTAGAAATGAAAACAAATGGCAAAGGGCTTCAATATTCGCGATTAGTCTAATTACACTGAGTTTTTAAAATTTGTCCCAATTCCTTTACTTAACTTTTCTATTTGTAAAATCGAATTTGGAATTGGAAAATCGAAGACTGGAAATCAAAATAAATGCAAACTCAGTAATAGAAGAAGAAGATAAAGAAAAGAGCTGTAGAAAGATTCGAGAAAATATTAAAAACGCAGCAAAAGGAGCTCTTGGTGAAAGTAAAACCGACAGAACATCAAAAAGAATAAAAAGTGCACCTTGGTTTTGTAACCAAGTAAAACTAAAATCTCAACAGAAAACAAGAGCTTATCTCAAATATGTCTATAAAAACAGGAGCACACTATGAAGATTATAAAAGAATTCACAACGAAACAAACACACTCGTAAGGAAAAAGAAAACAGAACATTGGGAAAAAATCTCAAAAGATATGGAGCATGACTTTTATGCTTTGCAAAAGAGGAAATATGGAGAATGATACATGGGCAAACCAATTAAAACAATTGTACAATACGACGGAGAATTTACCACCAGAAACTCGGATAAAGTTACGAATGAAATGCGAGAAATAAATAATGAAAAAGTAGAAGAAGCACTTAAGAAAATGAAAAACTGAAGATCGGCTGGCAAAGATGGAATACAGAATGAATTATTGAAGTACGGAGCTCCCAAGCTAATTAGAGAACTAACAGGGGGAGAAAACTGATTCAAATAACTAACGAGGAATTAATGTCCACAACTTTGAATCGGACAACAAAAACTACTACGAACAAAATAACTCCACTTGTAAAACTCTTTGAAGAATGAAAGACCTGAAGTGAAAGACCTTGCAGTGACGCAGTATTTGTAATTAGACAAATTAGACTTAGAAAAAGCATTTGATAGAATGCAGCTACAAGACGTGATAAAAGAAATAAAATAGAAGCAAGAGTAAATTGAGAGCTAACTGAGCCCATAGATGTAACTACAGGTATTAGACAAGGAGACTCATTAAGTCCCTTATTATTTAACATTATATTAGACGAAATAAGTAGAGAAGTAAAAACAAAAAAATGCTATAAAATGGGTAATAAACAAATACAAGTGTTGTGTTACGCGGACAATACTGTATTCGTAGCTAAGAATGAAGATGATTTGCAGAGACTAGAACATCAGTTTAATATAAATGAAAAAATGTAACGTGAATATATCTGCCAAGAAAACCAAATCACTACTAATCCCTAAAGAACCAATTAGATATAAGTTAGAACTTGATAACCAAATTGTAGAGCAGGTAATGAACATAAAATATTTAGGAATTATATTATCATATGATAATAACATATAGGATAAAATAAGAGAGCAGACTGCAAAAGCCAATAGAATACTTAAGAACCGAAACAAAATCCCGCAATCATGAGATATACCGCTAAAACAAGACCGAATATCTAATGAAATGGAAACATTAAGGAAAATAGCAGGGAAAACACTCTGGATAGAGAAACAATTGAGACACATGTGGAATTGAAAATATTAACACCTGGACAAGAAATAGAAAGCAAGAATGGAATCAACATATAGATAGAATGTCTGAACAACGGATAGTAAGGATAGCAAGAGATAAATCTCAGTCTGAGAAGTATAGGACGTCCACGAAAAAGATGGAACGACAACTTATGATGAAAAAATACATTGAAATAAAACAGGCAGAAGTTCCTAATATAGAAGAAGAAGAAGAATTGATTTTGAATATGTCCTCAATGCAAAATTTCTGAACGAGTGCATATAGTATCGATAGTCTCGAAAGACAGGGAGAGTTTCTATAATACAACGCTTTAATTCATTTAAAAAATAAGATATCTCAGTTTTTCACATATTTTGTTGAAACTTTGTATGTATAATTATTCTACTTTTCATTTAAATGAAGGTTTAGTATATAGCCCTTACATACCTTACATCTTATCTTTGATATAAGTTTTATCATTAAAATAAAAAAAATAAGGAAACACACACAATAATAAAAATTGTTATAATTAATACTATACATTTTTAACAATTTCAAAAGTTGTATACTGCAAGAGCCATACGTTCTGTCGTCTCTACCTATCCATATCTGCTTATTTCAGTTTTATTAATTGTTCTTTATTTAACTAATATTAGTTTATTTATTATTAGTGTGCCGCGAAACCAAGCCCTACAGCCACCCATCAGATATCTGCACTTTTAAATCAATAGAATCCCTTATATTTGTTACGAATTATTTGATTTTTTGTAACAGCAGTTAACGTTTTAATTTAATAATTATTTTCTCAAAAAGTATATTCCATCCTCCATTTTTGTTAGCTTCGCATCCGATCTCAAAGAAGCGGTATCGCTCGTACTGGAATGCTGAAGCTGTAAAAGACGGGGATACGAGCACCATCCAATTATAACCAACCTAAATATAGACTTTATCGCCGAGTTGGGCAGTGTATTTATACTGAAACCCATTTCCCATCATCACGACTACACCGCCAGTAGCAGTTTACCAAAGTATTTCTCAGTCGTAGCGAGAAAACTTCCAGTTGTTTGCTTAGTTTTGTTTTTAACGTCAACGCCGTCAACACCGACGCTACTTACGGAAAAAAATGAGCGGGCTCGGTTCAAACGGTCACCCTGTAGATTCGGATGGGTTGATTTACGTTTCTCCATTGAACAACGAAAAATTTGTTATACCTGATGCGCCCAGGAAGTGTTTATGGAGTAGGAATGCTGGCGTCGAAGGCATGGTCAGCCCCCATTCGTTTAAAGATTGGTAAGATGGAGGGAATTGCGTTCCGGACATCAACGGAGACACTTTGCAGGAAAAGGAACGCCAAAATTCAGCAAAACGTCTTAGAACTCATCGGAAATACCCCGATGGTGAAGTTGAACAGCATACCGAAAAAGGCAGGCATAAAGTGCAACGTTTGTGAGTACTTATTTAGTTGCGGCTGAAATATAATCAAATATGCGAGAAATTTAGTAAAAAACTAATTGCGTTAAATTTATTAATATTAAACTAGTGGTTTGAGGTCAATTAAAATTAAACGAAAAAAAAAACTTTTTTTTATTTCAAAACACTTGATGTTCACGATAGAGCTACAGAGAAACCTAAAAGAAACTTTTCTTACTTATTAATTACTCATTTGATTTACTTATGCTACATTCTCTGGATATTTTTAATTGCCCTGTGGAAAATTTAACAGAATCCAATTTAATATAAGATGTATACGGAAGATAAGATTACTTTCTACCAAGGCTAAAGCATTATTGGCGTAGTAAATACTATTTTGTCTCAATTTTTTATCATAAAATAGAAAAAAAGATATTTACTCACTTGCCATTTATTTTTTGTATAATATATATAACGTGACAATATTTATTTCACAGTGACTTTACAAGTGTTTACGCTAATAAATTAATTCTATTCTATTCTTGAGGTTGATTGATTATAGTGAACGATTTTTGAAAATATTTTAACGGCACAACGCCGCTCCTTGCGTTTCGTATACGCGACGTTTTCCTGAATATTCAATTGGCTATCGATTTAATTTTCAATTAATTAAGCAATCTTCATTTTTATTATGGTATATTCAGTGTCCCTCATACCTTCCAGTCGCAGCTACATAAATAACGCGTTGCGTAGTATTTTTATAGATTTTTTTTTATTTACACGGACGATTTCAATGTGACGTATCGTTGTTTTGTACAGGCTCATTCATTAACGATAATGAAAAATATTTACTTAAAAATTATTCATATTAAATGCAAGTGAAAAATTGTATTTGGAAAACATCAACATTTAACATACTTAAAATAAATTTCTGCTATTAAAGATAAATTTAAGAAAATTTCATGATAGCAATATCAAAAAATATGTATATTCAATAACATTCTTTTTTTTGGAAAATTTGGGAGTTACTTTTAAATTAAAATTATTTTGTTTTAATAATCACTAATAAGGACCAGGCATAATTTGTTGTTAATTTTCTTTTTCTCTGCTTTTTGGGCGCCTTTTCGCCTTTGTTACCTGTTACTTTTTGTTACCTGTTTCCGGAATCCAAATTAGTTCATCAAGTATTTGGTGATGACGCATTTGAAATGTACTGACTAAAAAAACTTAATTTAAGTATTCCATCAATGCAGAAAATATAAAAGCTGTAACGCCATTTTCAAAACGTTTTTCGTTTGCGCACTAAATTGAAAATATAATAATTTAACACAAATTTTAATGGTGGAGCTCGCATACCCATCTTGTTTTTTTTTTAATTTGCTTTCAATATATTTTCATCGTAAAGCTAACTTTCCAGAAGTCGTACAAATTTTTGTTTTAATAACTTTTTAACTTTTCGCTACATGACTTTTGTTAACTTTTTAGCGAGTTTGACGTGGCGAGTGTTTAATGAAGAAATAGGGAACAATAAATGTCTTATTCAGAAAAAACCTTAATAATGGTAAAACGGTTTTCTCCAAAATATCTAGGCTAATCTTGAAATCTGACAAAACACCTCTTCCACTTTGCGACTGACGCAATAGTTGGCACGTGGTGACATTCCTGTGATAGTTGCACACAGCGAAGAGCGTTAAATTTTTCACTTAGAAAGTGGAATCACCGATCTAGGATTAGACACCAAATTTAAGTAAAGTAACCCAAATTTTAATTTGTAAGCCGCTAATAGCTTATGGTTTTGTATACATCATTAATAGCTCAATTTACTTTGATGAAGCAATTTCCGATCATTTGTTGTAGGTTAATAGTCATTAAAATTTTAATAATATTAAAATAATGTGGTTACGCAATAAAATATATTTTTTTATTCAGTTCCCAAAATGCATTAAATAACCCGAGTTATCCGCTGTCAATATTTTTACTAGTGCATTTACAGAGTGTTTAACATGTGCCAATGCTCCGCTGTAGATTGCCAAGCAAAAAAGGAGAAAAAAGTTCATAAAAACGTAGCTCCGGAAATGCTAATATTATTATTATATATTGTAATCTGAAATGATAAGGGTGTGATTCTGCTAGATTAAAATTGTAAAATCAATGCCATCCTGGGACGCATCTTACTGAATGGTATTTAGTCGCAACGAGATCTTGGATCAAGGTGGCTTTTACTTGATGAAAATCCTTTTAAGACAATTAAACTAGAACAAAAAATGTTCAGATTTTCACAGTTATTTAACGAATTATGACAGCTGTTTCAGCAACACCGTGCCTTTATCCAAAAAGTATTTTGATAAAGGCACGGTGTTGCTGAAACAGCTGCCACAGATAATTAAATATTTTTTGTTCTAATTTAATTGTGTTGAGATATACACTACTGACTTTTTTGCAATGTTTAACTAAACCACTCAAAGCACAACTTTTTTTACTCTTGAGCTGATTTTTATATTGTCTAGTTTTCGAAAAAAAAATCTTGAAAATTAACAAAAGGTATTTTTATGAACATTTATTTATTGGGACTTTTGATACACAATAAATTTAGTTCTTAAAACTAACGAAAATAAGGCGAGTGTTTATGATTTTTGAAATGCTCTATATACAGAAAAATACGGCCAATTCAATCTGTGACCGTGAACCGTTGTGACGAACTGTAGCTAACTTAACCTATAGCACAGACTACTAAACTATTTTCTAACGTTTTAACGTTCACTGAATTAGAAAATATAATGCTCCAGATGCAAAATGTGAATATTTCAATCCCGGAGGCTCCGTTAAAGATCGGGTTGCCAATCGAATGATCGAGGACGGCGAAGCTCAAGGACTTCTAAAACCCGGGATGACGATCATTGAACCATCATCAGGCAACACCGGAATTGGGGTGGCGCTAGCTTCGGCGGTGAAGGGTATGACCTCGTAGTTATGTTCTTCCATTCAGCTCTCATTTCAATGCCTTCCCCAGGTTACAAGTGCATAATAGTCATGAGCGAGAAAATGTCCAACGAAAAAATATCTGTCATCAACGCGTTGGGCGCCAAATTGATTAAAACTCCGATAACGGCGGACTCGTACGCCGCTGATGGCATTTTCGGGGTGGCTCACAGGCTTCACCGGGAAATACCCAACTCTTTCATTCTGGACCAAGTAAAAAATACCCGCCAATATGAAATCTAAGAATTTTGGCCATAAATAGAGAATAATCTAAATGTCCCTTTTAGTGCGTTTTTAAACCAGAATAGCTCATATGCCACTTTGTTAATTGTAATACGTTAACAAGAAATATCATTAGTAATATTTTTTTTTTAATTTTACAGGGAAACAATTGTAAGTTTGGAAGTATGTGCGTTAATTACTTATTCAGCAATAGTAACTCGGTAAAGATGTTTTGCTCATGATACCCAACATGAACACAACAATATTCTTCACAACCATATAAGTAAAATCATCTCCTCTTCTTTATTTGGAGTTAATACAGATTGAATCTTAAAATACGGTATTTAGTGGATTAATCTTGTTTGGTCTTAGATGTGAATTTTGGTTTCAAGCAAATCAAAAGCGTGTTTTTACTGTTTTTTTTCTTCTGAATTTAAAAAGATATTTTTTAACACTGAGCAAGAAAAAACACCTCATATGGTAGCTCTACTGTTTTATATTGAAGAATTAGAAAAGCTTTTATTAGTCTTTACAGTTTTCATGGGGTGTTTCAAAGATATCTTGAAACCTTACAGCTCTTCTAACAGCAAAAACTAATTCTCAGCTATGCGCATTTACGAGACTGCTCTTCTGAACAGAGGTACTGGTGGTGCTGAACCATCAGCGCAGACTTCTTAATCACGAATGTCTTCTCATTCCCATTGATATACTTATTTTTCCTTGCATTATGAGTTGAAGTATCTGATATTTGTTTCCACTCATAATGTTAATTATTAATACTTAAAACCGTTTATTTCTATCAAGAATGACCAAGTACCATTTTTATTGGGATATAATACAAAAGGAAACAATACTCATTTAAAATAGAAATAGCGGCAAATTTTATGTACGATTGACTCAAAAACCTAAAATCGTAAGAAGGTGGCTCTGAGATAAAGATATATGCTTTTGTAGACGATTTTTTCTGGTGCAATTGAATTACAACATCAATTATTTTGAGAAGCTCTTAACCATACTTAACTTGTAAATTTGTAATTTGAACTAAGTAAGTACTTCATATTTGGTTTTTATTATATCCTGGAAATTTTCCTACATTTAAAAAACGTGTTTAAAAAATGTTTATAGTCAGGTAATATTTTAGTAGTCTAAACGGAGAAATAACAAACAATTTTCTGTTTTGGTCAAAATCATTTAAATCAATATATCCCAATGCGCAACATTTATACGCGGCGTTTGGGTTATTACGATTCCGGACATTACAAAAAATTATAAGGGGCGTAAAAAAAAACTCAAATTATTCTTTTCTTTCGTGTTTAACATTATTTAATAATACTTTTGATAAAGCTTTAATTTACATGGGGTGTTTTATAACCAGACACCCCGTACGAAACGCATTAGTACGCTTCGTATTGCTTGCAGTTTTCAAATCCTGGCAATCCTTTGTCGCACTACGACACCACAGCCGAGGAAATTATGGACCAATGCGATCATAAGGTCGACATGCTGGTAAGACAATCGGAGAATAGAGATCAACACATTTCCTGACACTTCCATAACATTCCCCAAGGTTCTGGGTGCCGGTACCGGAGGAACGGTCACCGGAATCGCGAGGAAATTCAAAGAAGCGTCACCAAATACCCAGATCGTTGGTGTCGATCCAGTCGGGTCGGTTTTCGCAGTGCCCGAATCTTTAAACGAAACGGAAGTCACTTTCTTCGAAGTAGAAGGTTTGGGCTACGATTTCGTGCCTACGACTCTGGATCAAAACGTCGTAGACCACTGGATCAAAACCGAGGACCAAGAAAGCTTGACCATGGCACGGAGGCTTATTAGAGAAGAAGGTCTACTTTGCGGTTAGTTTTTTAATCTATCAAGGCAAGGTGACCAAACATTGATCTGTTATAGGAGAACAGACAAAAACTTTAAAACTTGTTCTGTTTAAATATGGAGGATATTTCCGTTTTTAACTATTTTTATAATTATTGCACAAAAACTAAGAATAAGAATTATTTACAATTCTTATGGATTTCTTCTGCGTCGGATGTTGATAAATCAAACCTCAGAGCTTAACTAAAACTGGCTCACATTCTACTCTGTACCTGTTTATATACTGTCTAAGGAGCGAAGCTAAAGGAGGGAAATAAACATCGTCTCGAATGACTTATTCCCAATCTTAACCGCGACTCCAAACCAAACAGTATATACGAGGGGGTAACCATAAAAAACCGGATTTGCTTTTTCGACATCAACGGCGTAGTTCATGCAGAGTTCGTTCCACCAGGTGAGACCGTTAATCAAGCTTTTTATCTGGAAGTTTTAAGAAGATTGCGCAACAGTATTCGACAAAAAAGACCCGATTTGTGGCGGACAGGGGACTGGTTCTTTCGCCACGATAATGCACCTGCACACACAGCCATTTCTGTTAAGCAGTTTTTGGCTAAAAATGGCATGGTTCCTCTGCCCCATGCACCTTACTCGCCTGATCTCGCTCCGTGTGACTTCTTATTTTCACGTATGAAAAGGGACATGAAAGGACAGCGATTTGACAACATTGAAGAGGTCAAGAAAAAAACGAGAGATGAGCTGTCGGCGATCGCCAAACATGAATATAAAAAATGTTTCGAACAGTGGAAGCACCTCTGGGACAAATGTATTAGTTGTAATGGAGAGTATTTTGAAGGGGATAAGGTCGTTCTGTGATTTTCAAAACAATATATAGTTTATAAAAAATGATTCCGGTTTTTTTTGGGTGCCCCCTCGTAAACAGATGCAGCAGGAATCCAGAATAATTGGAAATAGTAAATGGTGGAAGTTTCTTTGAAAAATCAAGAATAAGTATATTTAACCCATCTAATTATGGACACATTGCGGATAATGTTGACTACCTCGTTTCAGGAAAGTTGACAATTATGTGTAGTTTTTGCCAAATATTATAAATATTCTAGCTTTAAAAACATCTTTTGAATGACCGATATTTTATTTATCAACCATTTTTGTTTGTTAAAGATGGCAAGGTAAGTGGTGACGTAAATGTGGACCTTCGTGAAATGAAGGCGAACCGTTTTCCGTAACCGATATGACTTTACAGGAACTAGCAGCGGCGCAGCGGTTTGCGCAGCTGTCAAAATGGCTCAACAACTTCACGAAGGTCAAAACCTGGTAGTGGTGTTGCCGGACAGCATACGCAACTACATTACGAAATTTGTAAGCGACGTTTGGATGGAGGCAAGGGGATTTCAGCCGTGCATAAATGTCAATAACCACTGGTATAATTAACGCTAGAACTTGTGCACCCGGTCGATCAAATTTTAACCTGCAGGTGGTGGGATGAGAAAATATCCAAACTGCGATATCCTAAGGTGGAAACTTTGTTTTTGGACGAGGAATGTGGACGGGTTTATGAATTCATGAAGAGCAAACGCGTGAACGAAATTGCCATTCTCAAGCGCGATGGGTACATCTTTTTTTTTTTTTTTTTTTGGCCACGCAGCCTCGAGAGAAAGTCCTTTTCAGAAACATGTTGGGTGCGATATCATTGAAAGATCTTATGAACAACTTGCTAACTCAAAACCTCCAGCCGACTGATAAAATCGAAGAATCCACCAGGCGAATATACCCAAAAATCGACATCGACGCGCATCTGGGTCTGGCTTCCAGAATTTTGGAGAAGGAATCGTACGTTATTGTTACCGAAAGCGAAGGTAAACTGGACTGTGCTTCGAGGAGCTTTGTCGGTGTGACACTTTGTTTTTTAAGGGATAGGCCGATCGAAGACTGAAACCCCTGTTGGTGTAATACATGTCTGCGACCTGTTTGACTACGTGTCAGTAAACACGCTCTCCGATAATTGATTAATTCCTTACATAAATCGCATAAGTACTTATATGCTACATATTTTTAATTTTCTCTATGTGGTTTATCATATCAAACTTTAATAAACTTAACTTTTACACAATAACGAAGTTTTTTTTTCTTAGATGATTGAAGAGTTCAATTTTCTAAGGTTTTTTTTACTTGTACCCATATATCTAAAAGAGATATAGAGTCTAGTGCAGGTTCATTCATTTAAAATCCCGTTTTTAACCAAAGACCTCGGGCATTCAACAACTACCATGCCCGTTGACAGATTGTCAATAAATTTAGATGCGGCATTTTTACAGCTATATTTTCCAAATATGTCCAAATCCCATTAAATGTTCAGGCCAAAAGGCTAAAGTGTTCTCGGGTATGAATGGTTTTACCCTAGTACAAGCTGACCAACTGAACAGGATTGGCCGGTACAGGTTCAGGTTTTTCAGACAACGTCCAAATCTACTCGTAATATTTTACCTCCCAACTAGTGCCCGCTCTTGTCATACAAAGTATTTGATAAAAGCACGGTGTTGCCGAAACAGCTGTCATAAATCATTAAATAACTGTGAAAATCTGAACATTTTTTGTTCTAATTTAACTGAACTATTTTATTGTATAATGAAGTTGGAATGTTTGTGTCTGATGGTTTCAAGTTTTTGATAATTGTACAAAAAAGCGATTCGGGTTTTAAAAAAATTCATTCATAGGTGAGTTTGCACTTTGCCTATCGGGTACGAATGCGAAGAAAGAGTGTTTTCAATTATAAATAATTTTTGGAGTAGAGAAAAGTCAACTTCATGCGAAATCAGCCATGAATCCAAGGTGCAACGGAAATTTAAGTTGTTTGGAGTTTTACCGATTCCTTTTAAAAAACAATTGTGCTCTAAAAGCAATAGGTGGTCGCAATAAGTATTCTTTTAAATAATAGGTGGCTTTAAAAAGTCATTAGTCATTAAAATTTAGTTTTTATTTGTTTTCAATATCTATAAAAGTTCTTTTATATACAAAGGTATAAGTTTTTTTTTCTAAAAGATTCAAAACAATATGTATATTTTGTTTTTATTTTTAGAAGAATTAAAGTTGGTCACCTAGTTGGCCACATATTGTCTAATTATCTAATAGCTATATGCTTGAACCTAACCTTAAGCCCACAGAACAGTCCAGAACATATGGAATAGCAATTGGTTGAAAAATCGCGATTGACAATTTTAATGCTTTATGTGGAAGTATTTCCTTTTTAAAACTTTATAACGAATTTCGTCATTTATAACCTATAAAACGGTCTGTGTAATAGAAAAATATGAAAACAAATGTACCACATTTATGTATATATTTAACATAGAAAATAATCAAAAAAACATAAACAACAATTATATAATAAAACCTAACCAACAGATGTCTTACAAGTTGTTAAATACTTAATAAATATCAAAAACAAATATAATTTAGAAGAGTATTCTGGAATATGTCACTGAACAAATGGATATGCATGCTGGAATGCCTTAGTCATCTATTATGTGTATATTTGGATTGAAATCTTTGGTTTCGGTTAAGTACTTCATTCTCCACTGTTTCATCATTCACGGAACTTGAAAGACTAGGTCCCGCATTCTTAAGAGCACAAGAATTTTAACAAACTGATAAAACAATGATTAAGAAAACTTACTGTATTTTCTGAAGTCGAATTATCATTGGAATTTGTTATTAACAGCAATTTGTTTTCTTCGGCTTCCACGTCAATAATTCCTCCGCGACTTTTTTGATAATTGTATAGTTCTTTCATTTTTTCCTGGAAGATTCGCAGATCGCGGGTGAGTTCAAAGTTTTGAGCTTTTTCAAGTTCTATAGGTGGAGGAGCTTTTCTAAGGTCCGCAACATCACAAGTAATTTGTTCCCGGCATACAGGGCATGTCGCCTAAAATTACACATTTTTGGATAAGGAACTCTAATGATCTATATAAAACAATGCCTGATATCCAATTGAGCACCTTTTCCAGGCTGGAAGTTTCTCTTGTTCCTCTTTAAAGTGTTTCTCTGTTACAATTATATGTTTGGCTAGACAATATGAATGGAAATAGTGAAAGCACTGGGTTTTGGTGAAACTATCCCCTTCAGAGAAACCATACAAGCACACAGTACACTGACATGTGGGCAAATTGCTTTGTGTTAAGTTTTCTCTAATTAACTGCAAAACTAATAAACATAAACACATTTTAGTCATATTTTAGCAAATACCTCTATAAGTTCAAAAATTACAGGTTGTCCCAAATATTCATCACATTTGTCTCTTAAAGCCTTGTTCAAGTATTCAATTGTTGAATCATCTAGCCCTCTCGGGTTTCTCAATTGAATAATAGGCTTGATATCTGGATAACCTTCGGGAAGGCTTACTTCTAAAGTGACACATACATACTGCTTATCTACTTCATTACCCGTCGAAGGGAAGATTATAGACTTGACTAGTTCAGCACAACCACTAAAATACAAACAACCTAATCCTAAAATATCACTTTCAAAATAAGTTGTATACTTGTTATCATATGTTATTGAAATATCGTCCATTAAAATTGCTTCTAGAGCTTCCAGTTCTTCTTGCACTCTGAAATAGTAAATATTCAATCAACATACATGGAAAAAACAATGTTTTTAGTGATATACCGCTCGTTACTGGACATAGTAAGATCTACTACGGCCAGAATCTTGGATCAATAAATTTCCTCTTTCATAAAAATAAATCTATCCAAGTAAAAAAAACCTTCTTAAAGTCATAGAACATCTGTGGTTAGTTTGGAATTCAGGAATTTAAGAAATGAACTGTGCAAAATAAAGTGGTGGAAATTCTTCTTTTTCTTTTTTGCTATTCCCGGCAGTTCAGCAAGTCAGCAAAGAGGATCAAAATTAAAAGTATAATAAATTCATATTCAGTGGTAAATATAATCTATATTATCTTTGCGGCGATAGTTCCTTTTGTACTATCTTTCACAGTTCTATGGTTCAGGTTGGTTCAAGTTTCTACAGAGAAGCTTGTGTAGGAGCTGCGATTTTAGGACACCAAAGTCTGAAACTTGTTTTCTTTGAGTAACCTTTATTTGTGTTTTTAATAAGTAATAATTTTCAAACAACGTATATTCTTTTGTTGGTCAATTAACTTTAGTCTTTGTTAAACAGTTTAGAAGCTGTGCTAAAGTGTGTTGAAAGTTTAGTATAAATTAAGTGATATCAGGTAAAACGATGTCGGAAGGAGTTAACACAAATCAAATGTCACCGCCTTCCTCACCTTTTCCGTCTCATCTCGTTCCAAGTCCACTAATAACTAGGCGCACCAGAACAGCTTCAACGTAAGATTTCATAATACTGCTTATTATGATTACAGTTCCCGTAACTATTTTTATACAAATGTTATTACAGTGTCGATAAATTTACGTTCATTTTTAATTTTTTAGATGCGAGAAAATTGTTACGGACGTTTTATATTATGGAACAATAAAGGCGTTCTGTCGTGAAAAAGGTCACGGCTTTATTATACCCGAAAATGGTGGTGAAAATATTTTTGTGCATGTTTCTGAGTAAGTCAAAATTTGATGAAAATATAAACTAAATATTTTAGAACTTTTTTAATTTGCAGTATTGAAGGCGAGTTTGTCCCGCTACCAGATGACCGAGTAAGTTATCGTCTCTGTCCAATTCCTCCGAAGTTTGAGAAGTATCAAGCTGTACATGTGCAGATTGTAGATTTGAAACCGCATCTGCATAAAAGATGGGCGCAACACTATTATTAGGCTAGAGTTGCATTTGTCTATTTTAATTGATTTTTTTAAGAAATGTTTTTAATTCTTTGAAAATAACGCTCATTTTTCTAAAAGTTTATAGACTCAAAGAAATTACAGGTTAAGAAACATGTTTCTTTATATGCTTTACATCCTTTCTGTAATTGTGATAATTTTCATGTTTTGGCAAATATTGTTATGGTTGAACAATGATATTTGAATTGCACAAGTTGTTTATGCATAAGTAATTGAGATTAATGTTAGCTCTGATTTAGTATGTAGCCAAAGGATGATGTATAGATTACCTTTACTGCAGACTGGTTGTATTTTTTTCAAAATTGGTTTCAGATAATTTCCTTAGCACCAGTATTATATTTTTAATAAAATTAAGAAGTAGGTAATTTTTTTCTTTTTGCAGCTTGAAAATGTGTAATAACATATATGTAACTGCATAAATTGCTACCACATAACACTTAAAAAACGCAAACAACGAACATAAAATAACAAGTACATCAAATAAAGCAATCAAACTTTCAAATATATGGGATATTCCACATAATGAAATCCGCTACTAAGCCATTCTATTATTGTATAATCATTTTAAATAAAACTGTTATAGAACATTTTTTTGAAATTTTATTTAAGGTTATATAAATGGTGACAACTGGAACTTAATAGGAGTTAAAGCGAGGCAATTAAAAAAAAATAAAATAAAGTTTTCTCTACTCTGTACAGAACCTTATAAATAAAGTAAGAACAAATTTACTGATACAAAATTTATTAGTATAAAAATGGACGGAATGTTATTTTTAGGTTTATAATTGCAGTAATTAAACTTAAGTCGCTATTAATATAAATGAATTTTAGGCACCAGTACAGTGTCATATTAAAACTTATAATTCTAAAATGAGAACCTTATAAAGTAAGAACAACTTTACTGATACAAAATTTATTAGTATAAAAATGGACGGAATATCATTTTTAGTTTTATAATTGCGGTAATTAAACTTAAGTCGCTATTAATATAAATCAATTTTAGGCACAAGTGCAGTGTCATATTAAAACTTATAATTCTAAAATAGAGAGCCAAGAATTTATACTTCTTGTTCATAAGCTTTGTGCTGCCACGGCCCATTCTCCGGCAATGTCGTGTGTCTGACCTTACAGACACGTGGACCCCACTTAAGCAAAGCCACTATTGTGCCCACCACAAAAATGAGGGTGATAAAAGCCGTCATTGGCCAATATACGTGAAACATGTTTGGAGATTCAAATTTCACTTTCCCTTTTTTTAAATTCGAGAAACTCAGTTTCTTCACCTATTGGAGTGTCAGTGGGGTGAGGGTTATAATACACCACTTTCTGTTCAGAATTGATTTCTTGGAGTTCCGCAGTGCAATCTAATGGGAGTTGATTATGAGGGGTTGCTGTCCAAAGAGAAATGATCCAGCGGTTCCCAGTATGTCTATCCTTCCAATAATTTGAATACTTTGAACAACAGCCCAAAATGATGTTAAGTAAAAAGAGGCTAAACCCAATGATAGTGCAAATAGTTATGGCAATATAAAATGGAGTGAAATCTCCTACGTGTTGGTACTTCTGCTGCACGCTGGGGGCACTCCCAATATGTTGCCTGTCTTGGTTGTTTATAAAATTGTAATATGAATTATCGTACGTTCTGTCGTAGCCTGAAGACATTTCAAACCATTTAGGCGAGTTTCTGCGACAGAATATCAAAATCACACTTAAAATTGAAATTGTATCTATAAAACCTACTTGTTTACGTCAAAATATTTAAGAAACAGGTGTGGCATTAAACACAAACGTAGCGTAAACAAATGATCACTGAATATAAAATACACGGAAAAAGTTACATGCGGGGTAAAAATTTTCAAATGAGATTTTTGTTAACGATATAACGATACATTAATCACTCCTTTCATACTTCTTATAACGAAAAATTTTGGTCTATAGCCGAAAAAAAAAATCTTCGACTGGTGTATGCAAAGGCAAATGATCCTAGCAACATCGCCCAATAATTGATTTTTAAATGCATAGATAAAGTAGAAGAGTTATTTGTAATTTAGTGTTTTTTTTTGTTGATGTTGTTAACCTAAAAAAGATATTTCCGTAATAATTAAATTTACAAGTATCGTTAAGGGACAATGAACGATGACACATTTTTAGTGAGTGCCTGGGACGATGACGCTCAGGGAATCGATGAATCCCGAAATCCCCAAGGTGCTTAATTCTTATACTTCTACGTTTTAATAACACAAATGCTTTTTGAAAACTAGTTCCCTTCTAGGAGTAAACGAAAGAAAGATATTGGAAGCTTGCGAGAATGGCGATCTGGAGACTGTAAAAGGGCTGATTAATGAAGATCCAAATTTAATAAGTGTTCACGATAAAGATGGATATACGCCCCTACATAGAGCATGCTATGGAAATCACTTTAAAGTAGCTCAATACTTGATTGAAAACGGGGCGAACGTTTCCTCGAAAACCATAATGCAATGGCAGCCCCTACATTCCTGTTGCCAGTGGAATGCTGTGAAATGTGCTTCTTTGTTAATTGAAGCTGGGGCTGATGTAAATGCACTCTCAGAAGGAAGTGAGTATTTTGCATTGAAATTGTTACAAAATCGAAAAAGGTTCTTCTTCCAGGTCAAACACCGCTGCACGTTGCAGCAGCACATGGCGCATGCTATGACATGGTACAGTTGCTATTAATGCATCCTTACATAGATGCAACGCTCAGAAATAACAGTAACGAAACTGCCGGTGATATAGCTCGCAGATCATCCAAGTATTACAACGTGTTCGATATGGCTGATCCTTTGCTTGATTATAAAAATATAGAGTGAGTTTATTTAATCTGTTATCTCTAAATACAACTAACAGGTGGCGATTTATTTGCAGGTTACTAAAGTAATTAAATATAAAATTAAAACATGTCTGATGTATCTATTTATATGACAAATGTTATATAGTAAATAAAAATGTGTTTCTATTAATTTGTGTTAGTACTTTGCCATGCTATTTGCTCTTTTTCTTCGTAGTTTTCACTGTATAAAGAACTACTAATGCATTTTTCACTAATATTTCACCATTGGCTGCTTGCGGCAATATATAAAAAAGTGGTGGAGCATTCACCATTTTGTTATCAAATACCATTAAAAGATAAAGGCGCTCGAGGCTGAGTTGCTGCCTATTGTTCCGTCACTCTTAATGGATTCAGACAATTGGATATAGCTTAAAGTATGAGATTTGATTAATGATCCAAGACGGCGTACAAGGATAATTGTAAAAAATAGATAAAAACGTTAAAAATTATTACTGGGCATCTGAATCTTTTATCTGCGATTTGCTTTGTGTTTTTATGAGGTCATTCGCGAAAACAAAAGGCGATCCGGCGATTTAGACAAAAAAATATGCTGATCGTGCAAGTCTCGCTTAAATCTTGCCAAGAAAACGACCTTCAGATTACCGACAGATAAACGTAAAGGGAAAGTTCTGGGAATAAAATTTCCGAATTTATGGATCATGTCTAGTCTTAAAATTTTTATACCACAAACAATAAAAATTACGCATTTAATCCCGGTATTACGGGAACCGTAATGTAATTTAACAATAAATAACTCTGGCGTCCCTGACTTTTCCGTTTTATTTCTCAAATTTTAATGAATTGACATTTCAGCCTAACGATCCAAAAACAATTGGTTTCTTATGAAACATGGGTTACTTTTACGACTCCTAATACTTAGGATTGAAAAGACGGACATCTAATAATTATTTATTTAAAAAATAAACATCTATAACATCACCCCCACCCTAATGCATTTCGCATTGTTTCACAGAATAATACTTAGACGCCTTCTGTTCTGTGACGTCATATTTAACTAAACTTTTTACTAAAAGCTTGAACTTATTTTTGTTTAGTTGGTTATTGGTTACTTTTTGTTTAGATGTGCCTGTTAAAGACAGATGTCGGTGATTGTACTGATTAATTATTTCACAACAATTATTATGTTTGATTGACCAAAGTGTAGTCTGAATTAAAATAAACCTCACTAGTCTACCGATTTTGTTGCGACAGCGTCTTTGTTAATGTCCAAAGTAACAAAACACTTCATTTTCGTCAGTAGAAAATAAGTAAAGGCCGATATAAAAATTTTTGCTTGGAATTACTAACTCAGCAATTTTGTTTGTTCACTGGTCGTACTTAAAAAATCATCTCAGAAGTGGGATGAGCCGAATATAACGCTAGGTGATAGTTTGCGTTGTCAGTCAAAAAAACTTTTTATTCACGGTGTATATTTGTCGACAGGTGGATCACGACTTATTTAACTAGAAAGATTTATTGTGTTCTGCAGGTGTTTCTATAACTCCTAACTGTCGGTTCTTGGTTGTTGCTTTACCAAACTATGCTCGCCTGAAAAAAAAAACCAAAAAAAAAGGTAAATATATATGGGACATGAACGTGTTATTTATTTGGCTTTAAAAAATAGCGAACTTAGCGAATTTGGAAATATTTCGATATTCGCTTCGCCATTACAGATACACCCACGCGACGCACACCAATGCACGCAGGTAAATAAAAAATACCAGTGATCTAGTGCATCCGCGGTTGTAATGCCGAGAGTTTCGTCCTTGATGGGACCCACCTCAGAATTTCAACATTTCACTAACATATCACGTCTTGCCTCGCGATAGTTCTCAGTGTAACATGAGATCACCTACAGTGTGAGATAAAAAAATAACGGTTTGTGATTTAGGTTGACATATTTCGTAGGCTACCCTAAAGAATTGGGTATTATGACGGGTTTTGAAGTGTAGGGAAGGTCAGATAATGGATAATCTATTTTTTTTGATACACATAACCTACAATCTCACTGGAAGACAAATTTAAAATGAGGTCGTGGTATTTACCAGCCCCACCGCGAGCTATGGGACTAACTAATCACCTGGCAGCAGTAAATTTGAATTACGACGGTTTACTGAAACTTTTAGAGGAAAACCTTTATTAGTGGTTGGTTCTTGTTGAATTGTTTCTAAGTTTTTATAAGACGCTACCACGTACAAAGAAGAAAAATAACCAATAATTTGCTCAGCTAGCAAAAAACGATTCTGACCGATACCAAAAAAATCGGCTTCCCATCCGGGCCCATCCGGCCTCCATACCGGCGTAAACAGGGAAAAACGACGGGGCCGACGACGATTATCACTTTAAAACATGCACTGAACACTAAAAACACTAAGTCCACACAGTGGAAACCGATATCAAAGTTTTGAGGACGAATACAAGGGATTCTGTCGGGAGCGAACGGAGGTTAAACCGCCGCGTGCAATGCTCCACCACAGAATTTCAAGCTGGATTATAACAAAGTTTGCCATTTCTTCTTTTCCAACAAATATAATATGAAGCTAACACACATTAATGAAGCTGAAAGGTTTTAAAATTACAGAAAAAAAATCTTACAGGAATAAACACTCTTTAGGCAACAACATTAATATGAGACAAACCAAACAGGTAAACGTATAAAAATGCACAATATAAAACAAAACAATTGGGAATTTGTTGCAATGTCCTGTCTTCTTTTATCTATCTCAGCTGGTGCCGGTAAAGACGGCAATACACAAGTCGCACACAATTTGTTAAATTTCGGCACGTCTGAGTAGAGCTACATCCATAACATAATAATGATACATTGATTATTCTTGGTTTATCATTAAAAAACATCGTTAAAATGTGTTTAACCATTTAAAGGACATTATCTCACCCTGTTTGTTATTATACGAGGAGAATTAGCATTTTCAACCTACAAACTTTGTTATTGCTCTTTAATATTGGCAGGTATGTGAATCGTCCTTTCATTTGTTTCCACTACGTGGCATTCCTTACACGGAATTCCCGCCATCTCTTGCAACCATTCAATTTAGATAAATTAGTTTAATATACCCGATATATTATACGTATTATGTTATTTCACTTAGCGGAATGATGTGCGAATAAAATGATGCCGCATTGAAAGGCAAACAGGCGGTAATTAACGTCGATTCAGGTAATTGATTTTAAATTATAAAACCGTTGATTGAACGCGGGTTTGCATGCGCACACACACACGCATCAGGCATCAAACGAATTACATTTCGACCTTCACTTTTCAGCCACAAACCACGGATATTCTCGGCCGACTTTGCTTTTATTACCTTTTAATACTTTCGTTTTTTTTACCAACGGAAAACGTATCGGGAACGCGCATGAACAACGTATTTATGTCGCATACTGCTTTCTTTCTTACAAATGCCATCATTCCGTAGATGGGTTCGCGTTGTTGTCCGCAGAGTTTATTATACAGTCGTCTCGATGTGCAGATTTATATAAGCGATCTAATTACCTGCGCCGTTCTTAAAATGTCATCATTAAAAATGCGGTGAAGATGGTAATAGCGTTGAATAACGAATAAACAGCGCTCGCAGATTCAATCCTAATCAATTCCGAACCATTCACCTCGATTTCTGAAGTTTGGGTTAGTTTTCGATGTTGACGCACATATTTGCGGAATGTCAAGTGCCAAAACAACGGCAATGGTTGAAAGCGCGATTTGAAATGACTCGCGCATGCGCGGATTTTTTTGGGGTTCGTTACCCTTATATAACCAATTTTTCTAGCAAATACGTGTTTTTTCTTATATTTTTTTATTCCAAGTCGAAGATTCATATTTTTTAAACAATTGGCAGTTTTCGGTATTCGATTTTGCACAAAAAATAAATCCACGAAATCGACGGAGGTGGTTAGTAAGATAATCGCACGTCGCAGGGAACGCTGGTATGAGCGCCAAAACAAATTATATGTAATAACGATTTTACACATTTATATATTTGACACCACCTTGTGAGAAAATGTTTTCGCAACGCAGGTAACTATGTATATCACTTAAACAATTGTTTCCCATTTAATTTAAACTCTTCAAAATGAAAGTGTGATCCTTGAAGATTTTGTAACGACCACCACTACAAGTGTTGCAGAAAGATTGCAATTGTGCATTTTTTTTTTCATTTTGTTAGCATAAAACCAATGAGGTAAAGGTCGTAACATCCATCCTCAAATTGTTTAACAAAAATTACTGACAGTATTTATATGGTACCTAGTTTTTTTATCGAAAAATAAATAAACCCACTTAAGCTTTCAAAAACTTAATAATGTATGTGTTTCCCCATACAAATTTAAAAAAAAAACTTTTTTTTAAACTAATTTTCTCATAAATTTCTCATTTCATAGATAATAAACAACTTTTTTTTTCAATTAGAGACATAAGCTACCCAAAATATTTTTTTAGGTTTTTAAGGTGTATAACTTAGTCCATCCTGTTTTTGTGAGAAGGAAATGCACCCTTTGGGGAACGCCAAAATTTATTGACAAATTTTATTCTCCGCGTGTAGGACATTTATAACAATTAGAATTTTTATGGACTAATAACAATCTTCCATTGTAATTCAAGGATGTCGTTCGCTAGACATTCTCTCGAAAAATCTGCGGAAAATAATATGTCGCATTTATATTACGGCACATCTATCGGTTGTGGGTGAAAAATGGGAAATTTGCGTCTCTCTGTTCGAGTTTATTATTATTATTATTATTATTAAATAACGAGACGAAAATTGATGCAAATCGCAAGTTCGTCATAATAAATGACTGAGGAAACGAATGAAACAAGAACATTATAAATTTAAGTAAAACTAATGAAATCACAAGTAAATAAATAACAATTTAGAAACTAAGCTGCGACAAAATTCAAATCGAATTGTTTTTCTGTTAACGAAATTGACTTAAGTAATCCTTCATAATCTGAGCCACAGTTAACAGATATTCTACATTCCATTCCACATTGGTGATATAACTCATAATAAAGCCTGCAGGTGCCAAAATATGACCTTACACCCTGTATAATTTGCATAATATACACTTAATTGTAGATTAGTAAAGGTCATATTCGTCCTCACTTGAGAA